ATTTTACAACCCCTCATTTTGGCAGGTTAAAACTTAACATGTTCATAACGTTGAGCACAAATAGATTATTTGAGAAAATTTTAAATCTGTCCATGAAAACCAAAAAACCTTAGATTTATCTCTTCATTACAGTCAACCATATTAAAAATGACGCTTTTAAGATACAAAAAAGTTGACAAATATAAGAACTATAAAAGTTGAAAAATGTACCTTATCTTATCATTTAATACAATACTATAATAAATGATAAAATATCTGAAATCCTTTTCTATGTTAATCCGAAAGTATTTTCATAGGCAATAATTACTTTCTTAAAGTTTAGTTTACTTAATTGAAGTTTTCTTAAAGTTGTAGGAAGTAATACTTGTATAAAAATAGTTTTAATAAAAGATAAAAATTTTTTTTTTTTTTTTTTTTGTACTTTATTATTTACAATCTTTAAAACAAAAAAAAAATATGAAATTGAAAAAAAAAGAAAATTAAAAATAAGGTTTTCGTTAAAAAATTAGAAATAAAAAAAAAGAAAAAAAACGGGAACTCGAAAACCATAAGGTCTTGTCATCCAGAACCGCTAAAATAAACCGCGTTGAACATTAGCGGTTCTCGGCGAACAACATAAATAACTGCTCATTGGTAAAAAAAAATTTTGATTGCATAAACATGCATTTATGTGCTTCGATATATAAAGTAATAGTGTTTTTTGATACAAAAAATTAAACCCGTTTCAATACATTATGTTTTGATGAACAAAAGTTGTATTTAACCTTTCTTTTGGTGGGAGTGTTTATGGAAGTAAAATAATTGAGATATTTTGAGAGGTTGATTCCAAACATTATTGCCTATAGTTTTCTAAATAGATGTCATATCTCTTGTTTTTACGATCATAAGTAAAATCAGCTCATCGTTAATATTGAAAACGAGAATATCCTTTAAATAATCTCCTCCTTCTTGTTGTTTTTCTTCATCAATAAATAATTTTAAGCTTTAAGTTTCTTCATTCTTAAGAAAGTTTATGTTTTCAAGTTTGGTTAATAATTTTTGCCCATAATACCCAAAAAACATTGTTACTAAGGGCGTTGCTAAGGGAACAAACTAACTAATTTCATTATAGGAAGTAAATTTTTTTTTTAAATCCAATTAAAAAAGATGTGTAAAAGTATATATTTTCAGAAAGAGCAAAAATTTCTCTTTTGAAATAAACACCAATAACAAAAATTTAATTTTTTACATATTTTTTACTAGACGACCACGTTAAAGGAAATCAAAAAAATTAATTTTAAAAATAAGAATCCATACCCCTAAGTTTGGGGCGAATACATCAAAAACGAGCCTCAAAAAGTTTGAGCGCTGTCGGATCACTTTTGACCCCCTCAAACCATTAATTTAGGGAAAAAATGACCGAAAAGTGATCATGTAACTAACCAAACCATATAATAACCCTAATTGTATAAATAAGCCCTGTGTATTTAAACAAAAAAGAACCCCTCTTTTATTTTTATTGAAAAGAATAAACAGAAAGATAAATGTATATTCCAAATATTAGAAAAGATAAAAACACATTTGACTATCATTAATTATACTTATCTCTTTATCTTTTTCTGCATCACACCAAGCTTAATTTAATCTTCGAAAGTTTGTTTGATTTTTGTTCTGGTGATCTGAATACAGAACTTTGTCTACAATGAGCAATCTATTTTGTTTTTCAGTTTCATTCGAATATCTTTGAATATACTATAATAAACTTTGGGTATACGCCATCATACCTATAGACCGAATGGTCATTTACAAATATTAAAACTTCAGCATATTTTTGAAAACTTTTAAAACATGATTGGGTATGCCAATAGTTTGGTGGAAGTCAGAGGCAGTCTTTAACTCGTTGCTTATTAAGATCAATCATGTCAAAAATCAGATAAGAAAGTCATCAACTAAAACAGACACGGGTGGTGGTGTTTTTCCCCAATATTTATTTTCATTTTATATATTTTTTTGTTATCTTATTTTACTTTGTTGTCAGGCTTATAATAGACAGAGCGAGGCATGTAATTATTAGAAAAATTATATATATATATATATATATATATATATATATATATATATATATATATATATATATATATATATATATATATATATATATATATATATATATATATATATATATACACCTACAAATACACATTAGGGGTGTTCAAAAAATATAATTTTTGAAAACGCGAATACACATCAAGCTAAATTTAAGGCAAAAAAAAAATGTGATTGCAAAAAAAAATTCAAAAAATATTGAGGTTTAAGGGGCAAGTTTTCCCCTAAAAATGTTCCAAATAGTACCCAAATAATAAGGCTTTGAGCACAAAGCAAATCTCTAACTTTTAAATTTTTTTCTTTAATGTACTTTTATAAATTGATGTTTATCCTGGATTTATCGTAATAATGGTGTAAACCTTTTTTATAAATTGATGTTTATCCTGGATTTATCGTAACAGGATAAACATCAATTTATAAAAGTACATTAAAGAAAAAAATTTAAAAATTAGAGATTTGCTTTGTGCTCAAAGCCTTTTTATTTGGGTACTATTTGGAACATTTTTAATATTTGTTTAAATCAAAAAGGATTTTATAGAAAAATATGCAAAAAATGCGCATTTAAAAAATCAATGTATAATAATTTTACATCTTTTTTTAAAATGGTGATGGAAAAACTAGTCAAGCTAACAGCGCATTCATATATTTCTAAATGTCAATTTAAATATTTGAAAAATCTTAAAGAAGAACTGCCATCAAATAGCGCAATAATTCTAGGAGATTTTGCAGAAAACTACAGTTTTGTTGTGCAGGATAAAGTACAAGGTTTGAAATAATGGAATAATCTTCAGTGCACACTTCATTCAGTAGTTGTGTACTATAAAGAAAATCAAGTTTTGCTTTTCACTTCATATTGCATTATATCAGATGATAACAATCATGATGTGCCAATGGTTCACGAGGTACAAAAATCAATTATCAATAATCTGAAGCAAAAGATACCCAGCATTGTAAACGTGATCTACTTTTCTGATGGCTGTTCATCTCAATATAAAAACAGCAAAAATATTTTTAACTTATGTCAGCATAAATCAGACTTTGAAATAGATGCAAAATAGGTTTTCTTTGCAACCAGCCATGGAAAGCAACCTTGTGATGGTATAGGAGGAACAGTTAAACGGTTTGTAGCTAGTTTGCAGAGAATTTCTACAAATCAAATATTAAACTCCGTGATATGTTTACATATTGCACTAACAACATCAAAGGTAAAAACTTTATTTTAATTTCAAGTGAAAGTTTAATAGAAACAAGATTATTAAAATCTGAACGATTAAAAAATGTAAAAACAATACCAGGAACAAGAGACTTTCATGAATTTATCCCTGTATGTCAAAATGAAGTTAAGATGAAATACTGTAGTGATGACACTATCCCTATCTTGACTTACAAGTTTAAAAATTGTGAGATGCAAGGTGATGTGCAAAGTTGATGTGGAATTTAAATTTATGCACCAACATGGCCCTTGAATCTTAAAAGATATTTGCTTGCTTCCTTTTATCAATTATTACTTAGAATCGACAGTTTGTGTATGTCTATGATTTGTATATGACAGTATTTTGCATTTGTTAAAAAATATTACCAAATTTTGTTTTGTTTTACAGTCAAAAGAAAAACAAAGAAATATTTGAAGTTCAATAATTTGTATAAAAATTTTTCAATTCATAAAAACACGGAATCCAAAGAATTAATGCGTTTTAAAATTTAAAATTGAGTTTATTTATGAACATGCATGTCATGGATAAAGCAATTTTAAAAAATAAGAGGTATTTTAAGTAAAAATACCTCTTATTTTTTGACTAGCTCTGAGTGAAAATACCTGTTTTTAATATTTAAATATTTTTAATTGAGTTTATTAAATATGCATATTGTAGTTTTACACATAAGTAAGAATTCATACTTTCTAGTTGTGCCTAAACATAAATACCAATCAATCTTCTGTCTCAATCTCAATATACTTTCAATCAAAAATAAAAATTAAACTTTTTAGATTAGTAAGTCAAAAAACAGCTCAGTTTTTTTTTGTTTTTTTGTTTAGATATTTATATATACTTTAAGAATATGAAGTTTGGAAATATATAGATCATAACCTTTTCTGTAATTCAATTTATAGTAAGCATGTTTACTTTTAAATTTTATTAAAAACGCCGGTTTTCTCTTATTGATTTATTAATGAATATAAAAATTTATAATTTCTTAGTATAATTTTATGATTTAGCATCTAATAATATGTGGAAAATTTTAATTTATGAAATAATATAGTTAAAGTAACAACGTATGTATCGACATTTACTTGTTACTAAGGACGTTGCTAGAGGAGCATGTTAAATAAAAATGTTACTAAGTTTTGAATTTTAAACGAGCATAACTTCTAAAATATTCCGATTTGTTTAAAACAACTTTGGGGAATTCTTTTTAGCCTAGTTAAGTATCATTGCTGCAAAAATTAAGTCATTTAGAGATAGTGGGTTATTTTTTTGAATTTTTGTTGTTGTTTTGACACGGAATTACCCTATAAACGTCCGACGTTTTGACACGGAATTACCCTATAAACGTCCGCCGAGAATCAATATTGAACGATTGTGAATCATAAGTTACGCAACTCTACATTTTACTAATAAACAAAATAAACAAAATTCCTTCGCAGAGCCTTAAGTTAAATAAAAAATTAAAACAGCCTATTAAGAATTATAAATATCACTGCGTGAAAAAGTTTGATTTTTTTTTGAAATATATATTTAGCGTTGCGTAATTTATAGGCGATTTCTAAACTATAAGATTATGTATTTAATAATAAAAGTAGAAATGAGCTGTAATAAAACAAAGCAAGTAAATATATAAACATTACTCATTAAAATAAACTGAAAAAACAACAATAAAATAAACATATCTATTTACTTTAAAAAAAATCCTCTAAACTTTTTGAAAACTATTTTTAAATATTTTTATAAGTACATGTGTTCTTTTTTTATAAGTACATATGTACTTACATCCATACATATGCAACATAAATTGAATACAAGTCTAAACTTAAAGTATTCTAAGCTTATATCATTTTTATAAATTGTTTATTTTTTATTATATAATTTTTCATCTTTTTAAAAAAAACTTTTATCTACTACTTTCTATACTTTTATAATCATATATGTAGTTTATTATTCTGTTTTTTTAGCTCAGCAAAACTTTCCTAAAAAATGAACAAACTGTCATACTTTGTTAACAATTTGTTGAAACGAAAAAAAAAAGAGAAAGCTAACGAAAATATTCAATCAGTAACTTTTAAACTCAAACTAAATGGTTTTGCTGTTAAACCACCTGTGAAAGTACCAGAATTCATTTCGATTCGTGATGTATTAAACAACTGCAACATTGTTCATGATCTTAAAGGTAAGCTTGTTATGTCTACAAAACCACCGGAACAATCAATTATTGCAGCATTAGGAAACAGTTTAATCGGAGCCTTGTATGACGCTTATAAGAATCACTATGCTATTTCAATTCGCCCTGATGATGTCTGGTTAACAATTATCATAGAACTAGCAGACTACATTGATAAACACGCCGAAGAGATGCGTTATCTTTTTGTAAACCACGAGGGGAAAAAGAAGTTAACAGTTATTAGCAATGCTGCTGGCGATTTTTCCCGTTTAACCAAAATAATGTCAGATCTTATTGGTGAAAATACTAAAGACAACTTGCGCGATTTTATTGAGCCTCAGTTTACTACCACTACGCCCAACGACAGTTTAATTGCGCGAGTAGCGCTAATGGGAACTGTGAAAAACTATTTTAAATATGAATTTTTATTGGTATGTGGGATACCTCAGGTAACTTTAATGGGAACAATTGGCGACTGGATAAAACTAAAAGAAAAAATTATTGAACTTGGTAAGAGATTTGCTGAAAATCAACCAGAGCTAGGTTGGTGGAGTAATATTTTAGTTCCTATTGCCGATAAATTTATTAAAAGTTATAATGGAAATCCTAATGATAATTTTTGGCAAAGTTGCATTGATTTTCATGCTGCTCGAGGTTTACCATCATGCATTAATCCAAACAACAAAAGGAAGCCAAGTTACTTAACTGGATGGGCATTAGCATTTTCGCCTTTTTTTGAAGGTCAATGGCGTTTAAATAAACCAGAAAAAATTTTAAAATCGGGTTCTTATGGAAAAGTTCCTTCACATCAATCAAAACTCAGCGTTGTTAAAGTTGATATTGAATTAAATGGAAAGAATGCTTGTTTTTATGCAGGTAGCATCGTCAACACATACCAGAATGATACAAACACTATTCGACCCAACTTTGATTTTGCTATGTTTATGATCCCATAATTAAATTACATAAAAAGAACTATTTAAAAACCATCCATAAGACTTTTATATTGTGAACTTATGTTTAACATATATTTTGTTTAACATACTTTGTGCTTAAAACATTTTATGGTTAACATAATTGAAGTTTAATATAGTTTGTGTCTTATATAAGTGATGTTAAATTTAATTTATCTCAATGAAGTAACGCCTAACATAGTTTATTTTTAATATTAATGTTTAACACAATTGAATAGGTGAAAAGAAGAACAGCACTAGTCCATTTTTTGCCCTTTTTTTCATAATTTCATTTAACTTATGTTAACTTATGTTAACTTATGTTAACTTATGTTAACTTATGTTAACTTATGTTAACTTATGTTAACTTATGTTAACTTATGTTAACTTATGTTAACTTTTGTTAACTTAGGTGAACTTATGTTAACTTATCTTGATCATTCTACGTACTGCAAAAATAATACTAGTCTTTTTTTCATTTTTTTTGCCATAAAGTAGATTTAAACTAATCGAAGAACCATACTTAAACATTGATTACCTCGAAATGAAAATGTCGGACTAGTAATGTTTTTCTTTTCACCGATTCAAATAATCATTAAGGTAATTTATGCTTTACATAGTTAGTTTAATATTACAGGGTTATTCATTCTTATATGCGCGTTTATTCATTTTTATATGCGTGTTTATTCCTTCTTATATGCATATTTATTCATTCTTATATGCGTTTTAAAAAAGCATACTTAAGCAATTTGTTTTTAAAAAATAATTTGTTTTTTCAAAAGAAATTTTTCTTGTTTCCTAGAAAACGAGGTTAAATATACTTAAAACGAAGACTTTTTACATTCATTGATGGTTAATTTAATTTAGTATTAGGTCTTTGTTTTTTTTTTATTATTAAATTTCTTGATTGATTAAATTATTGTAATTTATCTAAATATTTTTTTATCTAGATTTAAATTTAATTACTTATAACTATTATTAATATCAAATATTTACCCTATGGATGGAAGAGAAAATAGCAGTGCCAACCGTAAAACAAGGAAAAATGTTACAAAAGAGCATATTAAAATATATCTATATAAAAACATAAAAGCCGATTTATTAATTGAATTGTGGGGAATTATTAAACGTTTCCCAGTGACGCTAATGAAGTCACTCGTTTGTTTATAGTTGGGTATTGTGGTTTATCTTCCTCCGGCTAATTGCCATATAAAGGCCACATACCCGAGGTCAGCGGAGGCAACTTCAGCTTACTAAAGGGCATCATCACCCGCTCCGCTGACCAGGAGTAAGTGAGTTTAGAAGGACGAAGAAAGTCAGAGTGAAAGTCAAAAGAATTAGAAAGATAGTGTAGAGAAAGCGGACAGATTATTGCACCAGATGATAAAAGAAAGATAGAGAGAGAGAGAGAGTAGGGGCGAAGATAAAGATATATATATATATATATATATATATATATATATATATATATATATATATATATATATATATATATATATATATATATATATATATTATATATATATGTTATCTGCGCCCCTACTCTCTCTTTCACTTTCTTTATATATATATACATATATATATATATATATATATATATATATATATATATATATATATATATATATATATATATATATATATATATATATATATATATATATATATATATATGTATATATATATATATATATATATATATATATATATATATATATATATATATATATATATATATATATATATGTATATATATATATATATATATATATATATATATATATATATATATATATATATATATATATATATATATATATATATATATATATATATATATATATATATATATATATATATATATATATATATATATACTCTTGCATGTCTCTTGCATGGCATCAAAAAAAGTTTCCCATAAACTGTAGTTTTAAAGAGCGCGTTAATAAACCAGACCAGAAAAAGTTTTAAAAATTATATATTTTTTTTTAATTGATAGACTGCCTGGCCGAACCAAACCCTCAGTCGATGTAGCAGCACTCCCTTGCGAGTCAGGCTATTTGTCAGTCGTTGTAGCAGCACTCCCTTGCGAGTCATGCTATTTGTCAGTCGAAAATTGATCTGTCGAGTGCGTATTTTGCAATCTGTCGAGTGTAAAATACGCACTCGACAGATCAAATGGTGGTGGTCGGCGCGTAAAAGGCGCTTCACCCGATGTATAACATCATACTTTTTCCTAGTTGTTCTGGAACTATTGATAATAGTTATTATTGATAAATTGATAAATTTATTACTGATAAATAAAACTTTTTTTTCAAACATTTTATTTTATTTGCATTGCATATAAAGTCTGTTGAAGCAATTTAGTTGTATTTGATTAATTTACGTGAAATATAATATCCTCTGCGCAAATTATTGCTTTTTTATTGTGTCATTTTATTGCAATTAAAGTTGAGATTTAACTAAAATAAAAAACAAAAATCAACGTTGAATTTACGTTGTTTCAACGTTGTTCTAACGTCTTATCAACTACGTATCAATTGAATATATCACCTATTCAAAGTTGAAATATGGTTGATATGTAGTCGATAAGACGTTAGATCAACGTTGAAACGACGCAATCATCGACGTTGCTTCAACGTCGTAGTTTTCGACGTCGGATTTTATTTCCAATTTTCAACGTTGTTTCAACGTTTACAACCAAATTTCAACGTTGTTTCAACGTGGTATATGGTCGATTTGATACGTCGTTTCAACGTTATTTCAAGGTCATTGTGCCTGCTGGGCTATGAGGAATTTGAGGCAGCTTTTTCCTCGTTAAAAAAAAAAAAGGCTCCGGGATTTGATGAATTATCTAGTAATATAGTTATTGCAAACAAACACAGTCTTAAAAGACCTCTAATACATATACTAAAGCTTTAGTTAAATTCTGGGATATTTCCGGATGTACTTAAATTAGCAAAAGTTACTCCAATGTACAAATGTAATGATCATTCTGATATTACAAACTACAGGCCTATATCAGTACTTTCTGTATTATCAAAACTATTCGAACGTGTAGTTTATAATAAAATCTATGATTACTTCATTAAAAACAATTTTTTTTACCCAAATCAGTTTGGTTTTGAAAAAAATCTCTCTACTGAGCATGCAATCATTGAAATAGTAAATCAAATAACTAATGGTTTTGAAAATAACAAATTTACTTTAGGAGTATTTCTTGATTTATCAAAAGCATTTGATACGGTGGACCACTGTATTCTATTAGATAAATTAAGACATTACGGAATAGTTAATAAAACTTATTATTGGATTAAAAGCTACCTTACAAACAGAAAACAATATGTAAATAATGCCCAATCTGGAGTGTTAAATGTCGTATGTGGAGTTCCGCAAGGATCGATTTTTGGTCCACTTCTTTTTTTAATATATATAAATGACTTCTGTAATGCATCCTTAAAACTTAATTCAGTCATGTTTGCAGATAACACGAATTTATTTCTTACCAACAACGATATCAAGAAATCATATGCGGACATGAATATTGAACTAAATAAAGTAAATAACTGGTTTAAGGCTAACAAACTCTCACTTAATACCGAGAAAACAAACTATATACTTTTTCATAAAAAAAAACAAGAAGAAAATCATCCTTTTAAGTTGCCGAACCTATTTATAAATAATAAATTAATTAAAAAGCAATCCAATATAAGATTCTTGGGAATCGTTGTTGATGAAAAATTATCCTGGCTTCCTCATATAATGTATATCCAGTCAAAAATTACCAAAATCATAGGTTTAATGTATCGAGTTCGCTCGTACATTAATACAAATAGTCTTAAATTAATCTACTTTAGGCTAATTCACAGCCTCATCAGCTATGCAAACATTTTATGGGCAAGTACTCAAACAGCAAAGCTTAAGAAACTTTATAGTTTTCAGAAACATGCCTGTAGAATCATTTACTTTAAAAATAGGCGGGAACACGCTAATCCCTTGATAAAAGATATGAAAATGATGAGTGTATTTGAAATAAATATCTACCAGCTTTTAATTTTCATGTATCGTTACAATCACAATATCTCTCCTATAAGCTTTAATAGTTAGTTTGAGTTAAATAAAAATGATAACTATAATCTTAGAGCGAATATGTTGAACACATATTAACTGCCAAGGATAATAATTAAATATTAAGGATAATAAATAAATATTCAAAATACAGCATTTTATATAGAGGTCCAAAGGTATGGAATATTTTTCAGAAAGAGTTCAAAGGTACGGTGAGTTTGGTAAGTTCATTCAAGTTTTTAACAAAAAAAGAAATCTTTAAAACCGGTGAAACATTTTTTGTTAATAATGCTTTGCATAAATTCTCTTAAATAAGTTTTTGTTTTGTTTCTACTTTTGTTTGTTGCTTGACAATTTTTATTAGCGGATTACGCATTTTGTTATGATATTTTATTGAAATTTTTATTTTGTATGTCATATTACGATATTTTAATTAAATCTTGTTAAAGGGGTTCTATGAAAAGATTGCGATGATCTTATGTTATGTAAACAGAGAAAAAAAAAAAAGAAAAAAAAAAAAGGGTAAGATTAGAACTTCAGTCATGTGACTTTTTTCGTGCGACAAGTTTAGAATATAAACAGTAGCGAATTTTTCGGGAACTTTTTTGGGAATTTTTTTATAGTACCTAATTTCAAACCCATTTGTCAGTTATATTTCATTGACAAAAATTTGAAAAAAATGTTGATCTGTGGAGAATATTCTTTAAAGTTTCTTGAAAAAGATGCTAGATGATTTTTCAAGTCGTTTTCTTGATAGATAATTTTATTTACACTTTTTGACAAATAAATAAACTGTTATAATTTGCTTTTTTTGGGTTCTAGCACATCAAAAAAGATTATTTAGCCTATTACTTGATTTATACTAATTTGTTTTTTATATCTGGACTTAACAATTAAAAAGAAAAACACTTTTTATTATTTTTTTCGATTTTTTTTTGACGCCATTATGGTATTACCATATTAAAACTTAAGAATAAAAAAAACAGAATTCGAAATTTAAACAAGAAAATTATGTATCGAGATATAAAGCTAGAAAAACGAGAAAAAGAAATGAATGCATGAAAAGCCCAA